GGTTTAGAAGAACATGCGTGAGCGAATGCAACCATAAACGATTTTGAATGGTTTTATCGATCATGATTGTCATGATGAGCTTGACTGTTATGGAACACAACCAAAAGCCGCCATTATTGCTTTTTACGTGCAAAGCATGAGTACAACATCGGACTATAAAAGACAAAAAATGCATCTCGCAAATTCATCCAAGACGCTTGCAAACACTGGATGAGAAAATGGGACCTCTAAACGGTGCCCACCGAAATATTGCCATTGAACGATTGGCAAGCCAGCGAATCCAAGGTGTGGAGGTGGGGTGGGAAAAAGAAGCTTTACCAACAGAACAACGCCAGACCTCACACAGCACTTGCTACAGTGGACTACCTGGACAATAACAACATCCATGTCCTCCTCTGCCCCTCCAGATCCCCGGATCTGAAATGTATTACCTGTGGGATCAGATAGATAAACGTGTACGTCATCGTCGTAATCCGCCATCGAGGCTATAACGGTAACAGTTGTTCAACATGCTGCAGGAGGAATGGAGAAGGATTCCACAACGAAAGATCCAACAACTGATTCAATCTGTGTCAAGGAGGTGTCGTGCAGTTCTAGCAGTAAGAGATAGCCATACAAGGTAGTAACGTCACCGCCACCTCGAGCTCGTGGACAGCAGTAATGACTATGATGACTATCATTCTTGTGAAATGTGCACGGGATACCAATGTATTGCTCTACATAATTCCAATGCTGTTCCGTTTACTTTCGTTGATTTACATAATTGAATAAGACCAATTTTTTCAATGATACTTTGCTTTTGCGTTTCTTTTTTTGCAGAGTGTCCTTTCTGCAACATCTAATTGATTTGTGGTGGGGACATACCCAAGAGATCCAGTAAGTTTCATTGAAATCCATCTGGTAGTTTTTGAGTAATGATGGTAACACATAAATACACACGCACACACACACACACAAATAGGGTTGAATGCATACCCTCTGCAACAAACCTTCAGTTTTGGCAGAAGCAATTATGATCATAGTGATTATTATGTATACATATATCATTAAGATTCATTATATATAATGGTAGTTGTAAAACACAAACCACAAGGTACAGTTTTTATATACTACGTGACTATGTTGTCATAGGTTTATAAAAATATATTTCTCTCACATTGGTGTTGCAGCGCGATTATGTTCAGTTAACCCAGAATGACACTTATAATCATGAGAAGAAATGGAACCATGTTATTTCTGAATCCATATGCAATACTGATTACAATTATCAGTGGTTCCAAAAATTAAAATGTACTTACCACGGAAAGCATTTTTGCTACATAAGCCCCTGCACTATTAAATAAACACTTTTCAAACCTCTTCAGTAAACACATAATGGTCCTGAACATGCTTCAAGGGAACGATGAGATGAATTCAAAATCGCTGGTAATCAAAGAGTTGTTCATCACAAACGGTAAGGATGTAGTCGAAAATGTATAACTCTTAATGGCGCCAATGCGACAACGTTGTCGAATTATGTAAACAACGATGTAAGCTTGCTTGAGTAAATGAGTGAGTATTGCTAACTTGCTTACTGTTGCAGCTATTCGCTGCGAGATTTTTACAACAACAGTGAAAACAACCCTGATCTCCGATATAAACATCTATATTTTTCTTACAGTTTGATTTCCTTTAAATGCGCTAAAATCAAGTGGTTGAAAATATTTCTGAAAACTTCACATAATTTCGGAACATCATTATAAAAACGTTGTCTAAATGTTTGAAAAACAAAAATCTGTATTCGCTTGAATAAAGAAGTTGTTCATCCATTAAGTTTGTCCTTATCTGACTTTCCGACTTCCAAAACTGCGACTCAAAGAAGACTTTATCATCGCATAATAAAAAACTCTATTAATCAATCATTACCAATGGCATGTGGGCTTTTAAATGGACTTTGAGTAAGCTATATATTTGGAATGATTGTCATTATTCAGTACATTAAATTCTTTGTGCGGCATTTAGAAGTTGGTGTGATAAACAGAGGGGAAAGTTCTGTGGAAATACAACGTTTATTATTAATCCCTCCCTAGTTAATTCTGCTTGTGTAACTAATTACTCACTTTGTACACCAGCATTTTCAATAATGTAAACATCGATCAACTTACTGTACAAACTTTACTCTTGTATATATAAGCATTTCCTGCAGTATTGTACATCAAGGGCTTGATAACGGTGTTAGCATCTACACCGAAACGTCGCTTACATTACTGAATAAGTTTTATAGCCATAGAGTTTTCCCCGTTGTTCATTCAGAACGTTGCTTTTAATCATTTAATGCATTAAGCGTGTTGTATTTCTCAGCATTGAATGGTCACGGATGCGTGGAATATATATGTCTAAAATGATGATGTCCCGCAGCTCGATTTAATCTAAAGCTAACATCTGTTCATTTGCATTTCTCAAATACATCGGTGCCATTTTCGTTCATGAATGTCTAATTCCCACATAACACATTGTTCATATCTGGAATCCAAGAATTTGTCATACTCACATTTGCTTTTACCTTTTACCAATTGTCTTAAACCCTTAAAAGTAATATTATGACGATATCATTGAACACAACGTTGTGACGAATGCAACACCTTACTGTTAGCATTTGGGTTTGCAAGGTGGAAAAAGAAATCTTTGGGAACAGTTGAAACTTCATCCTTAAAATGAAAACATACCTTCCAGTAGGACGAAGCGAAGAGTGGACACCATGTTCCAGCCAGCATCCTTCACCGTGGTGCCTCTTCCAGATGCTTTCTATGCATTCACATCGACCTGAGCCAGTTGTCTGCTTATGTATATGCGTGTTTCAAGTATACAATATGTATGAAACAGACCAAATCTACATCAATTTGTTTGAGTGGCATTTTAGAAGTTGAGCCGTTAGCAACGGTACAAGAATCTGTATCGAAACGTCGCACTCACGAAATAAAGAAGTTGCTATCCATAAAAACTTGTTCCATATTCTACATCAATGCCGATGAACGATTATCCACTTGCCGCATTTGAGAACATTGGGTATTGATTAAAGGATGTCTGTAGGGTATTTGATCCCACATCTGTTACTAAGAGACAGAGTGGAACCAAATATACTGAAGAATCGCAGTAATTAATGTCATTGTGTCAGTTAATGATTATTTTATAAATACTAAAGTGTCTATGATTACACAATGCCATTTTGAAAGTGGTCAAATGTAACATATGTTATATTTGGGATTACAGTTTCTTATATGTTGTGCATATGTGCTTTTCATCACCTGGTTGCCGTCACTTCCAGCTTAATAACGGTGTCAGAATTTACATGGAAATGTCGCTCTGTGCAATAAACACGAAGACCTTATCCATAATATTTAATGAATCAATACACACAGGGATCTTCCTTAAGCATCCATTAATGTATTTCATCATAGTGATTTAGCAATGAATGATGATATGTGAATGATGACATTGTTTTGTAGCACATTTCAGGTAATGAAAAACAAAGTTTCAGTTTAACATGGTTTACCAAAACACAGCCCACACGCATGTGAAGCATGTCCACTCATATCCTGGCGTGGAAAAGACTTGGACTGGGATGGCAGATAGTGGTTATGCGTGCAGCTGGCATGTCTTTCAAGGCCAACGGGCTTCAGTTTGGTTACTGCCAGGCTGTCATCAGTAGACTCATCTAGAAACACCAACAAGCAGGTGCTGTCAAGCTCGACCAAAGCCAGGGCAACCTACGAAGACCACTCCAGAGGAAGATCGGAACATGGAACGTTACGTGAGTCGTGAACTCTTCGCCACTGGGTGCCCAACATCCATGCTTGGACAGCATAACAAATAACATGTTGACAAGTGAAGTTCTCATAAACCACGACAAGTATTACCACCAAGATATGTTGTACATATACATACACAGACATGAATATGTTCAGTATGATTACTGTTGCTGACTTGCTACAATCACTGCTCTCTACCGTATTTCCTCTGAATCTGTACTGCCACAGTGATACTTTCCAGTGATTTGTTTTGATTTGTGAACTATGTCAATATTAGGCCATATAAACATATTCTTGTTTCTCATCACTCTTTCAAAAACACATTGATCGGGCCGGCGGATTATATATTTACTTTATTATTTTATTTTATGATAGAAATCCCTTGATTTGTGCGGTAATTTACACCTTTATCCGATGGAAAATCAAAACTTAGAAGTGTCAAATATTCATGCACATTTTGAGAGGTTAAGCTGTATTTTCTCTAGATAAAATTTTTAATAGAAAAAGCCTTAGGGTCTGGCGGTAATGAGAAACAAGAAAGTTGTTATATGTGGCCTTAGAATACAAGTGCTGATTACATCCCATCCCTGTTGTGTGTTGATTTCAAACCAAGTTATGTTATGGATTATCATTTCGGGAATCAATACGTAACAATATCTTAAGTCTGTAATTATGTTCACTGTGTAACTACTGTTACATCTTTCAGCATCCAAAGTGTGATCGATTTTTAAGAATGCAGTTGTTAATTACATCACATTTCTTTGTTTTGATGGTTTCACACCAAGATCTCTTACGGATTGATTCCCGGTTAATCTTTTAGTTTAATCAACTTGGCAATCAACATTGGTACAGTTCACAGCTGATGCTTAACAAACAACACGAACATCGCAGGATGAAACTGAGAGTTTCTTTAATGAAGAAATCAATTGCATAACACCGATTTTGAGCACAAATCCAAACGTCCTGAAAAAAGCTGTGAGATTCTTGAGCGGCATTTAAAAGTTGGTGAATATATAAGACGAGTATATGGACTTTTTGTTTATTGTATATCACAACGTTTCTGGCCCTGACGAAGGGGCAAGATGTAGCCCAGAAACGTATTTATTTGTATTTACGGCCTGAACAATATTAACTACTAAAACACATTGTGCATCTTGGATATTTCTGTTATCAATATGAACTCTATGTACACTATTTTTGTTGATCTAACTAGATCATTGAAATGCATCTCAGACGTCAGAGGTGTAATTGCCGCATAACTGAGTTTAAAAAAAGTGTATGTAGTCACTAAACAGTTAATATACATTAACTTCAATATATATTCTTAACCAAAATTCAGCCTCTAAACAAAACTCTGAGTTAATGACGCCACGGACATCGGAAAATACCACCCAAAGTCGTCCCTTAAAAGACAATGGGTTTAACCATGGAACTGTTACATTTAACTGACACAAAACCTCTACTAACAAAAGGAGATTTCACTCTCTCACAACAGCAGGATTTGCTGACTTGTCTACATAAGGTAACTCATCAGTGGAAACATTTAAAGGTTGTGACAGGACATTCACAAAAGCGTTTGGGAAAGAATGACTATTTCCGACAGCAAGCGTTCTAAACTCTAAAATGCTAGGTGAACAGCATCATTTACAAGTTAGCTCTAATCTGACGAAAATCCTGAAATAACTTTAGAACCAACTGGTGCAGAACTTGACATTTTGTCAACAAACTCAGAACCATTCTTTGAAATGTTTAAACGATGACTGGGATAGGTTGAACACCTTCTGGTTTATAACCATATGACTTCATGCCTGAAAACCCCCACTGCCGAAAACAAACACAGTGATTTTGCCGCAAAAGAAGCATTCCTAAGACAAGCGTGGATTGCTGAAAACCAATTCACTGAGAAGGGCTGAACCAGTTTATTCTGCATTGACATAGCAGTCGATCTACCATATGGAGGAACGTCTGAGAGGGGTCATTTTGTGAGTTAATTTACGTCAGCTTAATATTCTATTTATCTTTGCTTCAATTTCCATCCGCCTAATCTGAAATTCTTTCTGGGTTTTTTTTCTTTCTCAGCTTCCATTATTTTTTTTCTATTTCACGTTCCAAGTTATTTAGATCCAAAACATGAGTATTATTTTTTAACAGAGCCAAAAAGTCATCGTCCAGAATTTCTTTCTCAACGAGAAAAGCAATCAATATTTTCCTGACTGCTTCTTGCAGCATATCTGATCTGATGTAGCGTTTTGCAATATTTGGTTCCTGCAATCCGTTCGGAAGCTTTGACGAAAGAGACTTGTTCCGTAGGAGGTTGGCTGAAAGTTAAGGTCCTGGTTGTTGGTCGTTTCTCACGTCAGATGATAAGATTTTAATCCAAAACTGTTGGGTAAATACTTCGCCCCTAGTTTCTGTTGTGTTGTTTCCCACGTTGAAACAGTATGCTAATCAGAAATCACTCCGACGTGAAACCAACAAACAGCAAATAAATGTGGTATAATGTATTCAAAATGATAATCACTATAAAGGAATTCCTATGACAGCCATATAAAAGTAAATGGCTCAATGGTAGTATACGATGGTAAAATATTGCAATGATAACAATAACGGGATGATTAGTTTCACCTTGCTGCTATAGTGGTTAAGCTAAACAAATAGACCCAGGTTGTGAATCCTCTCTTGTATAGTGAAACTGTTTTGGAACTTTTAAAAATATTCTGGGTTAGATTAGCCTGGAAAGGCTCTAATAATCTGTAGTATTTTCCAAAGTACTGTCTTAACGTAGTACAACACATATCACAAAATATCCTCCTTGCACTAATTTTGGATCTCTCTTGTCTCGAGGAATAAAACAATGTAAGGACATACTGCAAGACTACCAAAGTTTGTTATAGTAACGAGTGTAATTATACTAAAATCCCTTAACGTAGTGTATCGAGTAATGAGACAATACTATTGCAAAGATACGCCACCATGTTCTCCGAAAGGATTTTGCATATATAGAGAAATAATCTCTGCAGTATAGAAGGTCTAGTGAACCATTAACGGTTCTGAAACACGGTTTGAGATAACACGGTCTCACGTACAGATTCTCATACTTTTAGGTGGTTGATCCCTGATATCGAGATTGGCTCAAATCAACACACAAAGTCAGTGATCAATCCCCCAAAGTATCTGTACTTTACCGAGAAAGTATAATGGCCAATATAAAATATTTCTGATCACTTTTGAATGTGATTTAGCATTAATAGTGGCTCTAGTAACATTGGGTCATTCACAGCTGTTGTAACTTGAGCATCCGTCGATGGTGTACTTGGACCATCCTACAGCTTCTGCTGCATCTTCTGGGTTTGTTGCAAGGAGACAGTTGGGGGCAGCTGTTGGGTGGTAACTGAAACTCAGGCAAGACTTGTTTGCGTAACATCGGGAACTGCAATCAGCGGCGGAAGTAACTGCGAGTGACGTCATTGGTGTTGATACTTTCGTGTCGATCGCCTTACTATACTTGGTCACTGAAAGTAAACACTGTCAATAAATAAAATATTTTTTAAATATCACTTTAAACACCCAAGACACTAGGAAATGTGAGTAGTAACAGAACGTGACGTCAAATAGTTACATTTTGTTAAAGCAATTGTGTGGGAAGAAAACACCAATAGTTAAAAGAGTTTAGGTTCAAAACCAAATATGTGTTTTGTGGAGAGGTCATTAGTAAACAGACCACTATTTTCTTCATTTGCAATTCCACAAAAAGGCATACAATCATACAAATATTACAGATTCTACGCATGTTCGAAAATATCCGCCAGTGGATTTGAAAAAAACGGCAGCCAGCCAGTACCTGTTCCCACCAACATTAGTCTAGTGGTGGAAGCGTTCGCTCGTCACCCCCAAACACCCTGGTTCGATTCCCCACATGGTTGAAGATGCGAAACTGATGCTTGCTCACACGGTCATGCGGCGATGGGGATAGATGATGGATTTTAGCAATGTTGGAGGAATATTACTGCGGAGTGAGTTTAGTTTTACGGTGCTTTTAGCAATATTACCACATTATCACGATGGGAGACACCAGAAATGGGCTTCACATATAGTACCAATGTGGGGAATCGAACCCGGGTCTTCAGGGTGACGAGCAAACGTTTTAACCATTAGACCAACCCATCGTTCCAGGGGATGGATGAAGACTGGGTGGACTGTGTTACTTTTGACTGCCACCATATCGACAAATTTAAATTACACACATATTCAAAGGATGACATATTTTCTCGGTGCTTCTGTCTTCTTCACGGTTCAAGCTTTCGTATGAATCCTTCGTGGTTAGCACGGAGAGTGCATATATTTTAATGAAACTGTGACTTTATTTTCTGTCTTTCATTAATTGTCTTGACAGCTACAGTATGGTATATGATTACACAACTCATTGTTATGTATTTGATGTAAAGGGAGGTAAATGCTGCTGGTGGGTAAAACACACCCAGATAGTTAAATAGCACAGAGACGACGGGCTGGTGACTAAATTGCTGTAGAAAGACAGAGGACTAGTTACATATATTACCACTTGTTGTCGCTGGAGTCCCATGCACCACAACCTCTGAAATGACTAAACGACCAGTCATGTTTCGCCAGACCTTCACGAATCTCACTGGCCGTGGATGGGAACAAGTGAACGTGAAGGTTTCTCCTTTACCAACTACTTCTGGACACTGGCCGCAGATGAAGATGTCGCCGTCCGGACAACCACTGTTGCGACTGGCGCGCACCTCCACGTATGCACTCCCAAGATCGTTTCCTGTTGGATCCAAGATTGACAAGATGCTTATCAAAATAGCATTGTACCCATTCAATTACGCATAACTGTAACAAGTTATTTATATGTTGCTGAGGATTAATATAGCTGTAACATACGTTATATTTGGGATTCCACTTTCTTAGTAAAGTATAAATTCTAGTACATTTGTGGGTTGAGTCCCATCCGGGATTCGATTGTGTACACCTCTGATAAGTTTAAATTGGCACGGCTCCCACGACCGAAAGCTGTGATTACGGCTGAGCGGGTTAGGCGTCTGACTTTGATTACATATATATATATGTACTCTTCAATGTTGATGTTGGGAACGACGTGACGTTGAACTGGTCCTCTGGCAAAAAGTCTTGCTTTCCATAGCCAATCGCGCACTGTCTGGCCGGAGCTTCGGAGCCGTCTAAGGATTTGGATTGTTGTGGATGATGCGGGCATGGTGTTTGAACGAAAACCGGATGTAGCGATCCTGGGCGGCGGTGGTAACGCCAAGCCGACCTAACTTGGGGCTGTCATTAACACTCCCAGTGTTTTTGTATCGAGTCCATAGGTTTGAAATGGTCTGTCTTGACACGCTGGAGTGCCTTGCCACATCATGCTGCAATGTCCGTCCTTGTAAACGGCCGTTTGCGTTGTGTCGTTGAGCTCCTGTCTGATTTTTCATTCTCTTGTCGTCTATAGTGGCTTAAAGCAATGCATTCGGAGTACCATTGATGTGGCTTTTTAAGACCTACAGTCATAGACTTCAGCTCAGGGTGATACACAATTTCATGATTCTCGTGCATTTCATGTAGGGTGCGTTTTGACGATTCATTACAGACGTGAGTGTAACGTTACGTTTTTGTTACACGTTTCCTTTTTCAAACGTTTTGTCGTCGGCAACCATTCCCCCACATGCTGGGATTCAGCATGGATTTGTTTGTCAAATATGTTCCTAAAATTCAAACTTTTCCTTTGTCAATTTTCTGTTTTTGAAGAGTATATGATCAAAATGTCCATTGCAACTATTGGAATATACTTCATATGGAATATATATATTGTACATGTTTTGAAGTATGAATCTTCATAGAATGAGGGCAAACCGTATGAGCGTCGGAGCACAATACATTTCAGTATGTGTGAGATGAGGTGCTGTTCCCCCAGACATCCCACGACCAACTATTACGCGAATATTTCGTTCTAAGGGACTATCCGTTGTTGCATCAAAATTATAATACTACTATCAGTAGATGAAAAATGTGACTCACAAAGTACCTCAGTATGTTTGTAAGCTCTAAAGCATTAAGTTTAAGAATATGGCGTAAATGATCAGAGACAACGCCTCTGATTTCATGTATGCTTGGGAATTGCCAGGAGTCATCCGAGTGAGAATTAATCTTCATCAACACACGCCTGTCGTAAGAGCCGACTAACGGGATCGGGTGGTCAGGCTCGGTTGACACATGTCATCGTATCCCAATTGCTGCTGATCACTGGATTGTCTGGTCCAGACTAGATTAGTTACAGACCGCCGCCATATAGATAGAATATTCCTGATTGCGGCATTAAACAACCAACCAACCAACCAACCAGGAGTCTTGCCAAGAATATGGAATAAATCGTCGGTATTTACACACAGTCAAACTCTAGCGCAAATACGGTTGTGCAACAAAAGAAAATTACCTGTCTTCCTATATGCGAGCGAAGCAAATATCTGTCAACGTACTTCCCTCGATTCTGTTCGAAAAATATTTTCAATATCAAAACAGAATATGGCCACCATCAAAGGTAGACACTCATTTCCTCACAGGGTTGTGTTCTAAGACTTCCAAGCTCATATTTAACATTTAATAATTACTCACGTAAAATTTATTCATTTCAACATTTTCAGCACCACTCGTGGTATATCAAATCGTTCTTCGCCTCCATTATACCTGCCAAATTCCGGTTCAACGGAGTGAAGGAATGGGGGAGTTAAATATAAATATACTTTTTGAATCACAGGTCCGTCATATGGAATACTTGCGGTGTTACCTCTCTTGTCCTTCACCCGCTGTGCCAGAAGTGTTTTTTGTGGAATAAATGATACGAAAATTCTAACAATATCGACGACAGATAAGAAAAGCAATCTACAACAGTATTTTTAAATAGTGAATTTAGGCAAGATGATACTTCTTTTTTAATTTCTGCTTATTCTTGTTCCTTCACTCCGTTGGACCGGAAGCCGGCAGGGGTAATGGCGGCGAAGAAAGATTTGACATGTCACGAGTGGAGCTTAAGATGTTGAATTAAATATATTCTACGTTAGTGATTATTAATTATGAGGTTGGAAATCTGAGAGCACAATCCTCTGAGGAAATCAGAGTCTACCATTGATGGTGGCGATATTTTATCTTGATATTAAAAATATTATTCGAAACGAAGCGAGGGAAGCACGCTGCCAAACTTTGCCGACAACCGATAGGGATCACAGTAACGGGGTCACCAACTGCAGATGGGTTTACTGCAAGATGGTGTTTACAATTACAAAGCCAAAGGACCTGTGGTGTTGTAAATGTGCGTATTACAGAACGGGTTTATAACAGACTTACCAAAACCATAGGTGACGTCACTCGTAACTGAGATGTTGTGGACAGTGAAGTATCCCTGTAGATCCCCCTGCCAGTAGGGATTCACAGTGGACCAGGTTCTAGCCGGTAAAGACCCGGGGTTACCATCATTGGCATTTTCGGCATTCCAGTAAACACTGTTGAGTTCACTGGGCTTTGCCAGCATAATGTTCTCCGCCTTGCCTACGGAAACATCTGAAAATATTGTACTGTAAACATGTTTCTCTATGAATAAGATGAGATGGAACAAGAACGCCCATGTTGTTGTGGACAGAGTATGTGTTGACAACGACAATAACCCCGTGCCTAAAGCATTTTTTATTTTCATCCAAATCAAAAAACTGTAAATCTGCATTCCTGCTTCAAGAAGAAAAAACTGCAGCTGTGATACAGATGTGACGTCAGATGTGCGTGTGCCTTTGTCAAAATTCCTGTAATATCACGGCGAGTCATACCAGAAATAGGTTTCACACATTATACCCATATGGGGAATCGAACCCGGGTCTTCCGCGTAACGAGCGAATGCTTTAACCACCTGGCCACCCCACTGCACTCACCTCAGAAGTGTTAACTTCAATGTGAAGTGGTATTCAGTAACCCATGCTTGTCGTAAGAGGCGACTAACGGGTTCGGGTGGTCAGGCTCCCCGACTTGGTTGAGACATGTCATCGAATCCCAGTTGCGTAGATCGATGCTCATGCTGTTGATCACTGGATTGTCTGGTCCAGACTCGATTATTTACAGACTGGATTATTGCTGAGTGCGCTGTAAAACTAAACTCACTTACGCACTCACTCCTAGTTTATTAGAGTTTAAAGCTGGTTCATTTTGTGCATCACCCTCTCCACCATATGACGCGAGCTTGGGCTGAAGACGACCTTTGCATAATGGCCACCAGGAGAAGTGGAAACTGAGTCACTTAAAATGGATATAAGAATGTTGTTTCCTTTGGTCTGTTGGTTGGAACCGATGACATGTGTCAACCAAGTCTGCGAGCCTGACCACCCGATCCCTTTAGTCGCCTCTTACAACAAACATCGTTGCTGAAGATCAGTATTCTAACGCGGACCTTCACAGGTATAATAAACTAGGAGCAATTAGGAAATTGGCAATATTTTGTAAAATGATGTCTCATTCTAATCAACTCCCAAAAGAGAAATAATGCACGAATGTGACATTGATCATTTAACTGGTTAAATGCATGTACAGACATAGTATATTCTCTCAATCAAGCGATATGTATATAAACTGAACTGAATTATACCAAAACAAATTTGTCTCTGACAAAAGATAACAAGAAGACATAGATATGTAATTCATTGTTCAACCATTCGTTTGTCATACAATTTACATATTTATTGGACAGGAGAAATGTGCAGAACTTTAAACGGGGGAACTGTGAAATCTGATGTTGCAGATTTTTTATACGGCACTCATCTCAACTTGGCAAAATTTAGATTTGTCAGAGAAGTCATTATCATACACAATTCAAGGTCAGTAATGGCTATAACCTCCATAGGCATCGATGCATACTTAAACACGACATCGAACAGAGTTAATTGATCGCCGAACAACGTTGTTTGGAATAGCCTGCCATTCCTGGATGAGTACATTCGCCAAAGCTTGTTGATTGTCAGGAGGTGGGTCGCATGCACGAACATGCCTGTCTAGGTGGTCCCACAAGTGTTCAATTGGCGAGAGGTCCGAAGTGGCCATTGCAGAACATTATTCAGCTGAAGAAGTTCTGAACATTCCTGACCCATGAAGGTCCGGGTTAGAATGAACCTTCAGTAACCCATGCTTGTCTCCCCGTGAAGGTCCGGGTTAGAATGAACCTTCAGTAACCCATGCTTGTCGTAAGAGGCGACTAACGGGATCGGGTGGTCAGACGAGCTGGCTTGGTTGACACATGTCATCGGTTCCCAATTACGCAGATCGATGCTTATGCTGTTGCTCACTGGATTGTCTGGTCCAGACTCCATTATTTACAGACCGCCGCCATACAGCTGGAATATTGCTGAGTTCGGCGTAAAACAACCAACCAACCAGGAGTCTTGCCAAGAATATGGAATAATTCGTCTGTGTTTACGCAAAGTCAAACTGTAGTGAGTGTAAACTGACTCACTCTGAACAATCTTGGCAGTATGAGGTCTGGCGTTATCTTGCTGGAACATGACATGTCGATGTTTCTGTAGGAACCGGAGTAGAACAGGACGTTAAACTTTATCAGTGGAACGCTGGGCTGTTCAATTTGTGTCAAAAACAAGCTGTGTCGTCAAATCTCTGCATTGTCAACCCCATACCATGACATTTCCTCCACCGAATGGAACTGTCTCTTGGATTACAGCAAGTTGCTGTTCTCTCACCTCTACGGCAGTAGACTCGAACACGAAGCGATTACGTAAATGCAATAAACGCATGTGCCGATCTTCGTTGTCAGTGGTAACTCGTGGTCTGCCGCTCCTTGGCCCGTCAACAGTACGACCTGTCTGCCTCAGTCTGGCCTGGAGCCTTGTTATTGTTGTCGAGTGCAAGATCCAAGCTGGAGCATACCAATCGCCCTCTCGCGCTGTTCTGCTGTTAATCTCGGCATGTCACTTGATGTTATGGCCTTTGGGATACTGACTGCAGGGCTTTCATACCCATTAGCATTTCGATCTTGTGATGAATATGCATTAGATTTTTTACCATTAAAACAGTTTACGCGGTAATCAACACATTTTCATCTCGCTTGGGATCAGAATGTTGTGTGCTGTGTTTGGGTGATATGTTTCTGTAATTTGGAAACAAAATTCGGTGTAAATAAATCAAAACATCGAAATCAAAATTTTGGTATAGTTTATTTTGCCCGTCAGTGTATTACCATTTTGTGTGTCGTACATGTATGTAACTTATATAAGTTGTCGATAATATTGATATTGATAAGTTGATGTTCTCTAATGCCACAGAATGCTACCAGAGTGTAAATAAAGTTCAGTTCAGTTCAGAGGTTGCGCACCAGTGACTATACTGAGATTTGGAGTCAGGAGTAATCTGGAATCGTCTCGGGCAGCGAAGATTATTCAAAATTAATAATTAATCATACATTAATTAATCAGCAGGAGCGAGCCTCTACGATCTCATATTACACCAAAACGATCAGATGTGTGAAGATCATTTTTTTGGTCATTCTCAACTGAGTCCTACACTAGCACGCTATTGAGAACTGCGCGAGTAATACATTGCATTATTTTGTAAGGTTTGAATATTGTTCTTAATCGTATCCCCTTGCTATGTTGTCCGCTTCAAACTTAATTCCTTTTCGAACAGAATTCTGGATTGCCGAATTACTTCGCTAGTAGTCATTACCCGTTTCATTATAAACCTACCCGAATGTTTCAATATACATGTAATTGTTTGATTATTTATCGATCTCGGTAGCTGATTTCACAATTAGTTCTGTACGTACTGATTTCTTGATTTCGCCTTCGATTTTGTCAGTCTTGTTCCTATTGACCAATCAAAATTGATGTTTTTTCTTTCTTTGTTAAATAACAGTTCAACAGATCTTTGTAGGGTTGTGATTGAATTCGCACGCCCCAATATAGTAACGGTAACGTCGGTGCCAGTATTTCAATGCTGAAATTTTGTTTTCGGCTATTTTCAGCCAATATGTCCCGAGCTTTGAGCACAAATGGTCATGGAGTCTATGTGAGAATCTCAGTCAGATATATACTCATGGGAAAAAGTATCGCAACACCCAATCGTTTTCACAGTATCAAAATATATTAAAACATCAATTTCTATTACTATCTGGACAAACTGACCCTTAAGGATTACTTAAATGGCAAATCTAAACGGAAAAAGAAAGAAAACATGGGAAAATTTGGTAATTTTATAGTCATTTTACGGCCAAAAACTGGCGCGATTTGAAGTGCTCATAATTATGGTCGTATGACGTAAACAGGTGCTGTCATTTGACGGAGTATTTCAATGATATCGTAGCTATAAGCCAACTTAGATGCAATAACTATCTGTCATCAAACGACGATAAACTGACTAGACTATCACAGAATTACTCTTAAAAGTATTACTCTAAACAGCAATACAATATAAAAACAGGCTATAGATAGCCATAGAAGGCTGACACCATACAAAACAGCATGGAATAACAACGGACGTCTGATAGGTCGTCTGGCTCTATACCCAGTTGATTTTAGCGATTTTGAACCTTTCTGCGAACGACCAAACGGAAGAAACTCTCTTTGTTAACACGTCACTTGACATAAACGGATGAAGTCTTGTGTTTCTGGGGCTCCTTTTACGAAACAACCTTTTCTTAGGTAAACCTTATCTTCCATTCTTTAACATTGCTTTAAGGTTACTTTAGTGACTTCGATCACCTTAGTGCTTTGTGAAAGGAGGCCCTGAACTGTATCCTTCCTGGGAATTGTCATTTGTGGTCATCCGGAACAGGCGCGGTGTTTAACGTTATTAATTTGCTGATGTTTTCTGGTTAATTGGCTGAATGTTGACGGATGATTTGCAACATCTCTTGCAGCCGCCCTTAGCGACATACCAGCATTCAACAAACCAATGACTTGCCATCCTTGAGCAGTTGTCATCTGAAGAGGCCCCATATAAGCTTATCAAGAACGAAATCGGTACCACGAAATCAACTGACGTTCCAAGTTATGAGCTGTAAGTACAGTTTATTGCAAACTTATATTTGATTAATGGTGGGCACACGTGTTACACTGTCAAGAGAGTGATGACATGTTTAATGACGTCCCAATTACTTCTCAAGAGCGGATACGTCTTGATTGGTGTTGTACTTCTTTCATATGAATAATACGGCTTGGACTGAAATCTGATACACATTCTCGCCTTTGATTGCATATCTAAACCCAGTTTATGGTGCGTTAGAGGGGCCAAATACAAACTTACAAAACTATGAATATATATATAGCAAAACTGGTTTTTAAAAATCATAGATGTTGCGACATACATACATTCATACATACATACATACGTACGTACATACATACATACATACATACATACATACATACATACATACATACATACATACATACATACATACATACATACATACATACATACATACATACATACATACATACATACATACATACATACATACATACATACATACATACATTTTAATCATGCAAGCAAGATCTAAAAGACATAATTCCAGTTTAAAGACGCATTCGCCATTTTAAGAACAGATTTTAAGACGTACTGACACTAGGCAAACCTTCTTTCTTATCAGGCTTTGTAACCAATGTCCAGAAGTTCTAAACGTGGCACGAAAAGAAACGTTATTTTTTATTGCGACAATGGAACATTTACAGAAACCTTTACAATTCATGAATAGTACAATTGGCTATTGTTAGCTTATGATACTGACACAACATATAGCCTTTGATGTACGCTATATACTCCACAAACATTCAACAGAAACATAGTTTGCGAACACAAATAAACATAACATAAGTGATCACAGGGGCACACTGGTTGCCATTAACACAGCTATCTCCATGTCTTTATGTTATACCAGAGATGTATGGTGTTATGATAAAGGCGACTACGAGTTATTGAATAGACATATAAGCAATACTGATTGGAATTGTGTGATAACAAACACAACTGATATCGATGAAGCAACAGATGTATTTTATGATCATCTAGGAAGGTATATTAAGGAATGTATTCCATCTAAAAAGGTAACGATTAGACCAAATGACAAACCTTGGTACAATTCGGAAATACGACGTGAATCAAGAAAACGTAATAGGTTAAGAAAAAAAGGCAAAAAGAACTAATAGATGTGAGGATAACCTGGCATATCGTAAACAACGAAATAAAGTTAATAACATGAAGTGTTATGCAAAGGAACAGTATTTTTCGAACCTTGATGAATTTATATCTGAAATGAGCAGAGATAACAAAACCTCATTTTGGAAAATACTCAGAAGGATAATCAAAGAATCAGGAGCTATGAACCCTATTCCGCCATTACGATCTAATGAATCTGACGAGGGTCCAAATATATTTTCAGACTTTGATAAAGCGGAAGCATTAAACTCATACTTTCCGTCTATTTGTAAATTAGATGATAAAGACAAACCTCTACCCTTATTTGAAATGCGTACATCTAGTAGGCTCAATCACATTGTAGTAAATGAACGTGAAATTGCTGATATTATTAAATGCTTACATGTTAACAAAGCGAGTGGACCTGACCGTATAAGTCATAAACTATTGAAATGTATTGCAGAATCTGTCAGTAAACCATTGTGTTTTTTATTCAATAAATCGTTATCTTCAGGTACCTATCCTAATAGATGGAAAGAAGCTCATGTCATGCCGCTTTATAAAAAAGGAGATAAATCTAGTTGCAGTAATTACCGACCCATTTCTTTAATTAGTTGTTTAGGAAAAATCTTTGAAAGAGTTGTCATGAAGCATATGTCTAATTATTTTCTGGACAATAGATTGTTATACAAATATCAGTCCGGATTTCAAGTAGGCCATTCTACGACTCATCAGTTAATAGAACTTCATAACAATATTTGCTCAGCTCTAGATAGACGTGAAGACTATTGCATGGTGTTTTGTGATGTTTCAAAGGCCTTTGACAGAGTGTGGCACCGAGGATTACGGCATAAATTAATAAGCTACGGTATAGGTGAAGAATTACTTAAATGGATACACTGTTACATCAGTGGCAGGACTCAAAAGGTGTTTTTTAATGGTTCATTATCAAATCCCAAATCTCTTGCAGCCGGGGTACCCCAGGGATCAGTCCTGGGCCCCTTTCTGTTTATAGTATATGTTAATGATATTGCCGATGAACTAGATTGTGCTGCACGCTTGTTCGCGGATGATACATCAATTGGATTTTCATCTATCAATCACAGGCTTATGCAAGAGACACTCAATAAGAACCTACAATATTTATCGTGCTGGGCAAAACTTTGGCTTGTGACATACAATCCCAACAAAACAGAAGCTATACTTTTCAGACTTAAGAATAATAATACAATTCTAAATTTAGAATTTGAAACTCAGTGTGTACGTTTGGAAAAATCTCATAAACATCTTGGAGTAACATTTTCTTCTGATTGTAAATGGAACACACATATTGATAACATTGTAAAAACAACGTCCTTGATGGTTTCATCAATGAGAAAATTAAAGTTTATGTTAAACAGAGACACTCTTAATAAGATTTATATTGTATTCATAAGACCACATCTTGAATATGCTTGTGAATTGTGGGATGGTTGTTCAGTAGATTTAACCGATAAAATTGAAAAAGTTCAGTTTGAGGCCGCCAGGATAGTTACTGGTTTACCAAAATATGCCACTAGAGATACTCTGATATATGAAACAGGTTGGCAAATGTTAAAAGAAAGAAGAAGATGTCGTAAATTGTCTTTATTCTATAATATATACAACAAAAATGCTCCATCCTACCTTTGTGATCTTATGCCATAAACTGTTGAATCTAGGACAAATTATAATCTTAGAAACATTCGTGATCTTTCCCTGTACTATTCCCGCACAAATCTCTACAGTCAATCATTTTCCCATCATCTGCACAACTTTGGAATAATCTCCCTTTATATGTTAGAGAATCAGTTTCCCTTAAAAGTTTTAAATCGCATATAAGCTCGCGTAAGTCAAAAGCACCAGGATATTTCTCATTTGGTAATAGAAAACTCAATGTAATTCATACCCAGCTAAGATATTCAAATAGTAGATTAAATGGTGATCTATATAGGATCGGTCTCATAGAGAACCCCGAATGTAATTGTAAATTTACCTGTGAAAATTCTCAACATTATTTTATGGAATGTTCTTTGTATTCTGTTATCAGACAGGAAATGTTTCAAAATATTAGCAGAATTTGTAACATGAAAGCACCAACAAACCTAGACGTACTATTAAATGGCAGTGTAGATCTTCCGTATAGTGACAATATTCACATTTTTAAAGAAGTTCAAAAATTTATATCAAATTCCAAAAGGTTCAGTGATCAGATATAATGTGTATGATCTAAATAATTCATGTATTCATTGTATTGTATCTATCATTTTGTATATATCTTTCTATCCCTGTACATATAGTTTGTTTCACTTTTGCATGTAAGCACTGTAAATAGGAGAGGGTTTCACTAAGTTGGCATAACTTGTACCCAATCCATTCTCTTGAATAAATATGTTTAAATCAAACTAAGGATCTATAGTCAATCAAGTCTTTTTCATTTCATTGACACATGACAAGTGTTCTGTTAAGCATCATCGATGAAACGGTGTGTTTATCATTAATAACCCTCGGCAGCTGTTTGGGTAGAATAGCATGTGACAATTGTACCATTGAGAAGGACTAGAAACTCCAATACATATCGTCGAGTGATAGACATGTAACAGAGACATAGGTAACGATCAATATGCCCCTTCATATAAGGGGAGGAAGTTTATAGATTTCCATGATATATTTCAGTATCAGTTCTATGCAAGATAATTCACGAATGAAATGAAACAGTATCTCTTAAGATTGAAATATATGCCCAACCACTTGATCATAAAAAGAGCCTAAAAATTATACTTACTACTATTACTACTATTACTTACTATGCTCTATACCACCACACGAGGCTAAGACAGCTGGGTCTATACAGTTTATGGGACATAGCGTCAGAGTGGCTAACTTAAAAGTAAGAAAAAGAGACAAAAACCTTCTCCATAATAATATGGACCGATTGTTTGAGTCTGTCGCCTTTCTTCGAGTCCTATCATAACGTGAACATATGTGAATGAACCCCAGTTAGATGGTGATGATGCAAAGTGTTCCCCAAAAGATTAGCATATCTTGCCCCATCAGTGGCACGAGCAAAAGCGTATATAAAAATTAAATCAAACTTTTTCCTTTAAAACCACAAAAGCATATGGTTCAATCCTTCCCCTTGATCTGTTTCAGTCACATTCGGATATTCAAACCCATACTCAGTAGTTACTGACTTCGGCCATAAACCTTATGTCTTAATAAAAAAAACAGTGGCTGCAACGGCACAAGCACATGCAAAACACACATTTTACTTTGAAAACACCAAAACATGTAGTACAAGTCAAAACAGTGGAACACCATCTGGCATAGTTTCCCGTAGATTTATTTAGGACAGTTTGAGTCAATTGAGAGAATTGGCCCAAGAGTTGATTACTTAGGTTACACAATCTCAATGATAAAATAATAAACATACCTTGTAGAAAGGCACAGAAGACAGCCAGCACCGGGTTTGTCGTTGTAAGCCTCATCACTGGATGTAGTCTGAAGGTATACCTTTGATACTTGTCAGAATCTGTATCGGCAGGAATCAATTCAAGCTGTATTATTCATATGAAAGGAGAACAACACCAATCATTGTGATAGATTAATCGTTTTCGCAATAAGTCCTATCCTCCACGAACTCCTGAGTAGTAACTGGGACGTCATTAAACATGTCATATTAGCCGTAACGGTGACAGTGGAACAGGATCAATCTATTCACTTGAGTAATCCTGCTAATTTTCTGTTATTGAAAAGAAATATTTGTAAAAGTTATGGTCATTAGCCAATAATTATCTGTTCTCAGTCAGTCAGTGTTTGTGTGGAATGTAGGCTTAAATTCATATTGATTTTTGTACAGGGAGTAGATAATACACCTCACAGACACGACACACGAAATCACTTTAGCAGTTTATTGTTGGACTTTCTTGTTGATTTAGGAGATAAACCAAGTGTGTTTGAACATCAGAGACATGCTTTACTGAATTGATGGCGACTAAATTTCAATTGGAACCGAAATATCTAGTCGCCATCAATTCAGTAAAGCATGTCTCTGATTTTCAAACACACTTGGTTTATCTCCATTCTACCATTACCCATTTAAAAATGGATTCTTTTACTTGGTGCAATAAGCGGTATTTACGGTGCGTACAGGGGTTTCGAAGTTGGTCATACCTGCCAAGGAGTGACAAGGGTCACTAAGCGCTTTCAGAACGTTCCACTATTGACTCACACTTACTCTCTCTCGCTCACAAGAAATAACAAACAAATCGTTTTATCAACAAACTTGAGTTTAATATTCTTTGGAAACATATCTTTTCGGAAAAAATAACAATTAATTTGGACAACAATTTTAGGCAGAATTAGTCAGCACAGTATTTCACCTGCACTGAAATTCTTAGACTCATCCACCTTGACCTACTTGCTTTCGCGGTAATAGTCGAAAAATGCAAGGCGGCCGAAGTGGCAGCACTGGATAATTGCATCTGATTGAAGTTTGAAACTGATGTTACCTGACTGGGAGTGTTATATGAACCCTGAAGAACTGAAGAATAATATCGTTTCTGATCAACGGAAGAACCAGTGTTGTAACTGATCAAAGATTGCTGATTTTTGTGCCCTGTCAGTTTGATGATTTCGCGTGCCTCAACACCAGCATGCGAGAGAAGAGTGACCATTGTGGCACGTACACAATGATTTGCGTACACCTTACTTAAACCTGCATCTTTGGAAATTGTCTTCATCATTTGTGACAAGACATTGTGGCCTTCTGGTTTTAAAGTATACCAACACGAGTCGAACTCTGTGACAGATTTTCGAGGTTACTGGAAGAAACATTCATTTCCTAGATTTAATTTTGAGACATATTTTTTGAATGCCGCCACAGGGCACGAATCAGTGTTGGAAGCATAAATGCGGGATTTGGCTTGTGCAGTATCGCGTAAATCGCCTTGGTGATTCTTGGTGGCCTCAGAATGGGTCATAGTAATGTACTCTGCACCAACATCATCCCTTTGAACTTCGAAAGAATTTATTTTGAGACTTTTTTGATTTTCATTACCCCGACGACCAAACCCCAGAATGATATCGAACCAAACCTTTTTCTGCAAGTTAGTGGGACTGTCTACTGTGAGATTATTTCTCAATTTCAAAAGATCAGCGTTTGAAATGGCTTCATGGTGTTTCGAATTGTCAAGGCCCATTTTTTCAGTTTTTTTAACATTCCAACAAAGACATTATTGGTGCTATGAAATTCAACATCTTGGAGAATGTTGATATTTCTCTCAAAGGGCGGGACCCTGAGATGTCTGTGGATGGAAGATCGAATTCCCACGTAGAAGGACTTGGCATAAAATCCCCCTCGGTTGTCTGAACTTCCGCATAAAAGTGGCGAAGAGAGGATGCAAGTTGTTCGTTTGGAAGTGATTCGAATTCCTCGGATTTACCGTGTTGTGAGAGCCATTCTAAAAAGGAAAAAATGGAGGTAGGACAAGTGGACTTTTCCCAGCAGGCACATCAACGTTGTTTCAACGTTGAGAATAGGTTGGTCCTCAACGTTAAAATTAGATGGAAAATAGGTTGTATATGAAAGTTTTTTAGACGTAGATATCCGACGTGGAATCAACGTTGAAGTTTGACATATTATTAACGTTGAAAATGGGTTGTTCCGTGGTTGTATATGAAAGTTTTTTAGACGTGGATATTCGCCATGGAATCAACGTTGAAGTCTGACATATTATTAACGTTGAAAATGGGTTGTTCCGTGGTTGTGTCTGGGAGGTATTACGCTTTCCTGTAAATAGACTCGCACTTCATCTTTAAACTACGCTAAAGTAGCACCAAACTCATGCATCCAGCTAAAATACCCCAAAAGCTACATGCAATAAACAGTGTTCAAACAGAAAATTGCAGTAAAAATATTTACCTGATAAAATACTTGGTTAAAATTCCACATTCAATATAATGTTCATTTAAGTTTTATGTCAGTTGGACGTATAATTCCAGTAAGAAGACAAGAGTATTCCAAATTAAGAAAAAACTATTTACTGTTGTATTGTTATCTTTAAATAGTGGAATTTGTCCCGAGAAGACATTTTGTCTGAATTTCAGCTATTAGACAGACCCCTGAATAAACACAATGCAATTACTTTCACCATGAAAGGGATCCAAGATGACCAGGAACTATACCTGAAGACAGCACATAAAACAAGTCACTTTTCATGAAATCTTTATGAACACAAACGCACACAGAGAAACGTGGTTTAAAGCATAATGTAAAACATCACACATGACATAGTCTGTAGGTGATCTCTCTTGTGCTAATAACACAATATTATCTGCATATAGCATTAAACTGACATTTACGCCACCAATTTCAATACCACAGTTCAGATTTTTCAACACAATTACAACTCAAAAAACACAATTATCAGCTCCTCTTCTTCCTGCCACTCCCTGCTTGGCGGTCAGGTGGATACTTCAGAAACGTTCCTAACTCTTTCTTGAAATTTGCTTCGGATGCATTCCCATCTCATTCCCATGAGATAGGACACATTCTAAAATTTTATATTTAACTACATGAATAATTTATATGGAAGATATATTGTCTTAAATGATTCAAGTATTTGTTTAATCAATCACTTGAAAGGTTCATTTCACTGCTGTAACTTGGCATGTGAACATATGGACAGCATCAATACAAAATATGACGAAAAGAGTTAACAATTTATATTTTCAACTAAAAGAATGGAAGTTTTCTTAAACATTTAAAAAGAAAATCCTCAAGTTGATTATTCAATTAGACTATGAATTAGGATGAATTAGACGATGCTTTACTGTCATATATTAATTGCTATGGTCATGATGAAAATGCTGCATTTGGTAATGACCTAACCAGAGATGATTGAATACAACCTTGTATTCTTAAAAGAAAACTTGCCGTTGTGCACATCAACATTCATTCTTGATATCAAATTGTTTGACATTGTCCTGCAAAACAATGGAAGATTGTTGTTATTCTGTCAGATTTAGTTTTCTTTAGAGATTCTCGGAAACGATTATTTCAAATTAAATAGGATTTGTACTGATGTAGCAATTTTGCTAACAGGAGTCATAAATTGTAACAAAAGCCATTTTACATTAAATGATAAGAAATCAAAATGGGTGGTGGTTCACAGGTCAAAGAACAAGTCTATTGTGGGAGGTCTTCCAACACCATTTGTTCCCAAACACAAGGAAGTATGGATCATGGAGTTCTGAAAACAATAATGAACTCTCATAAGTATACAATATATTCCCTATGATCTACTCTCTCTCTCTCTTTGTCATTTGTACACTCATAAAACTCAGATAAATAACTTCTTTATAATTCAGAAATGTTTACACTTAATCTCTTATAGGAACGCTTAGAAAATCTCTCATATAATGAATTATGTGTGCGTATAATATCTGCGACGTCATAACTATGCTTCTCTGAATCATGAACAATAAAATAATGAGATTAAACTCTACACTGCCAGAAATAATCTATCATACCCTAAATAATAAGACATTGAATAACATCTCTTACAACTCCAATCTACACTCAAAAAGACTTAAATGTACTCGTAAACAAACATCGCTGGCACACGCAAATTCTTGGAACCAGTGTATCTCTGACTCTCTATTCAAAGAAATGGAAGTCCTACTCTATTTGACCAAAGGGGTGACAGGTGGCCAAAACATATTGAAATGTAGGTCATACACTGAAAATAACTCAGATTCAAAACACTACAAATATACCCCTTCTCTCTAATATACTCGACAGATGATCTTGACAAGGGAACATGTACATAAAATGCTGATATCTTACAATACCTGTACTCTAAATAATGGACTCTTCCAAATCTCAGTATGTTTCACTGCACACACATTTTAATGCAAAATAATGAAAAACCTACACTTTGACAGTAATAAAAAAACATCATATTCAAATTCTACAGCTGACCAAATACCTGAAGAGTGTGTCTCCCAGCAATAAACATCTATATATCTCTATAACTCTATGACTTCTGTCCTATCGCGTGCTATCTCGCATCCAGCTCTTTACGGTGAAAAACAATATGGCGCCAAGCAAGGGAGTGCTCATTAAACTAAACATCTACTGGAGAAATCATTGTCAAATTATTCTCTTACATGATCAACCTTAATATATAAATGAAGATAAAGACCAACTATTATCACCAAAAAAGACCAAACATTATCACAAATATTCAAAACAGGTGGTAATGAAAGAGCATTATCATCGTTCTCTTAAACTTTATGGTGGATAAACTGGAAACAAGTGAAATGTTAAAAACTTGTTACCTTAGCGTTGCTCCTTTTATGTGATCCACAAAATTGCTGCCACCCAGTCTTCGAAGATGAGATTTCTGCAAATTCCATTAAAATTATATCTTATTTC